GAATGCCTCTTCGCGACTTTTTCGATGTCTTTTGATTGAATCATTATATTTTCTCATTTGTTTCTTTCTCCTGAACCTTTTCTTCAACACCTACTTCTCTTCACCAGTTTTATCAAGTGTTTGAAAAAGTTCTCTAATTTGTGTAACTTTCATTTTAAACGCGTACGTTTCGTGTAAAAAACGTCTCTCTAGATACATCCTTTTTTTTCAAGGTTGACTTTTCTCTGAAAAGAGGACTTGTCAGTGAGTGTCTGATAAGTGCTGTTTGTGAATTCTCGTTCATTTCTACACAGATTTCACGAAAACTGACAACCTCAGGAAAGAAACCAAGGACAAAGATAATCTTTTGGTATGGTAAGCGCAATTTAGGGCTGTCAGTTAGAAAGGTTTGCAAATTATTTGTAAAAGTTGTTCACCTTGTGGTACCAAAATCTTCTAATACGCATACGTTTTACGACAGACGTTTGGTGAGAACAGGATTTCAATCTTGTTCAGAATTTTCCAAATGTTTTAAAATGTGTGGAAAAATAACTCATCGATCCCTTGGTTTCTTGTGCGTGAAAAGCCACACGTAATGCATTTACCCATATTTTGTCAATTTTGTGTCTTTTTGATCATGAGAAAGTACAAATGTTTGTCTGTATTTATATTATTTATCTATTTACCAATGGACATCTGCGATATACGTTAAACCGTTGTGCGCCTCAAGAAAGAAAAAGGCAGTACTGATTAACTACGCTGCGCACTTTCTTTTCCTCTTTCAGGTACCACGAAAGTTATAAGTTTAGAAAGGTCATGAAGACGAACAGAAACTTGTTTGAGGTGAGTACACTTTGTTTTATTGCGTATTTGTTCGTTTCTTTCCTTTTTTGTGTGTGCAATGTGGTCTAATTGTTCATTTAATCCTTCATTCTTCTTTTTAAAGATTACATAAAGAATGACTTCTTCAAGAATCTAAACAAAGTGTCAAAGTCGACGCCATCATTTCTGACCACTTAGAGGAAATGTTTAAGTATTAAATTTTGAAAATTCTCTCTATCTTATGGTAATATCATCTTGTAATACGCATGTGTGTTAAGACAGACGTTTGGTTACACAAAAACGCATGCGTTTGAAATTAATTTTGTACCACAAGATAGACAATGTTTTAAAATATTAAAGAAATCTTTAGGGAAGCGGTGGGTGTGGTGGGGGAGGTTCGATGGAGAAACGATCTCAAATTGTAATGTTGCTGTATTAAAATGGAGAGAAATAAATTCTAATACTATTTCGATACATATATATATTAAGCTGTTGCTGTATTATAATGGA